AAAAGAAAAAAAAAGTCACTGGAAAACAATTATTTTTTCAGAAGAGGCAAAAATTAAAGATTAATAACAGTTTTAGAAAAGGAAAAAAAATTTTTATATATATAAGGTAACAAAAAACAAAAAAAAAAAAAGAAAGAAAAGAAGAAGGAGAAGAAAAAAAAATTCTTTGATTTTTTTTGGGGGGGAAGGGTGGGAAGAATCCTGTATCTCCCTTTTGTCTGTAACCAGCCTCTTGTTGGAGTCTCTGGTCAGCTTGAGGTCCTGTGGCTTGATTGGTTTCTTAAGTCAGTTTGTTGGAACAGGCAGAAAAATGCTCTGCTTTACCCAAGATTTTGAGATTCCCCTCCCAGGTTAGTTTACTGGGAGGGTGATCTGCTTTGAGAATCACAATAGAGGGGGATGCAGTGATGAGGCTAGGTTCTGGGTAGAGTTGAGGCCTTTCAACAAACAGTAGCTTTTCCCTGGGGCTATTTTGTGAAAAAACTCACAGAGCCCAGCCAGGAGCCATTCTCAGGGTTTCTGTTTTTCAATTGATTGTGGTGGCTGCTAGAGGGAGGGGCAGCCTCTGGCTCTGGTTACCCAGTGAGGAGAGCCACTCCAATGGCTGGCGCCTGAGCTGGATGACTTTTCCCTGGATGGAACTGAGTCTGGCAGGTCACTTCGCCGTTAAATTCTTGTGACCTGCTAAATGACTCGTTTTATTCCAAGGCCTGAGCTGGAGCTAGCAGCTCCTCCGAGCTTTGTCGGTATCCAAGATGGAGATCACCGGTGCTGGGGGGGGAGGGGTGGCCTTCCCTCCTCTGCTCCCTGAGAAGGAGTAAGGAAGTGGGGCTTCTACTCACGCCGAGTCTTGGATCCTGGGTCGTCTCTGGTCTGCAAACTGCAGGATGAAGATATTTGCTCCTTGTCGGTTCTTGCTGGTGTTGAGTAGAATCCGCTCGTCCGCTGCGTCTGGCTCCTTCGTCCCGGACTCTCTGTGTCTCAGGTATGACCCCGCGGCGGTGGTCGCTGCCGCGACCCTGCCGCTGCAGGGGCAGCTGCTGGCAAGAGCTCAGATGTGTCTCCTTGGCTTCCCCTCTCTTGACTAACTCTCTGTCCTGTGATGGCACACTTGGTGTGATTCTCTGGCTTAGGACTGTTCACTGGAACTTTAAAACTGCTTTCTATGCAAGAGCTTGTTCAGATTCCAGCTTCTCCTCCACCATCTTCCCGGAACTCCCTGAGTACATTTCTTACCAAGCATTGTTGCCTCCTCCTTTGTTTCCCCTTCCAATCCCTGCCCTTCCATCCCCCCCACCACAAAGTTGTAAAGTCGTTTTCAACATAGCATCATTTCGACATTGCAACATTTCATAGTTGCAATGGGTCCACCTGTATCCCTATTTAAACAATTTGTACTTTTGTTTTTTTTTAAAGCTTACATAACTACTGTATTCAAATAAAAACATCCAGATTGGATGAAATTTATAGTAAAAGGTTAAATATATCCATCAGTGCTTGGTGAAATCATAAAAATAGATATTCTTTATGTTATTCTGCATTTTCACATCTTAAAATTATGTTTCTAGAATTGAGTTAGAGCAAATTATATAAAATTCATTTCATATTTACAATTAGGCAGATATTGACAAAATCAGAAGATTAAGTGGGAAGCAGGGTGAATCAAACATTCTACTATAATATTGCTAGAAGCTAATGTCCCAGAATCTAGGTATAAATTAATCAAATGCTATGAAAACAGTTAATAATTGTCCCCAAAATGAATAAAACACAGACATAAGTATGCAGTACACTGTGTTATTTCTCAGAGTCATTCAAGTTCAAGTTTATTTCATCTAAAGACATCCTTGCACTTTTGTTAGTGCTTTCATTAGAAAAAGAACATAGAAATAATAGTTGCAATAGGATTGTTAGTAACAATTCTGTGAATCCTTTACAATGCCCAGGAGACTGACTTTATTCTACAGGGAATTTTTGGCAACACCAAGGGAATTTCTTTGTTCACAATATAGTTGAAGGTGAGAGAAGCAAATATCATTCTCTCCAAAAGTTACTTTGCATTAGGCAAATTAACAAGGGAAGAATGATCAAGTTTGGTCTCTTCCTTCTTGCACTTAGTAGTTCATCAAAAAGATGTAAAGCTTATGTATCTTCTTATAGAAGCTAGGTGAGAATACAATCTTTATCTTACTGTCATAAATTTTTTTCAGCATCAAGTGTTTTTCGTGAGCTATTAATATATGTAAAACAAAATTTCTCAGGGCTTTATCTACCAGATAGGAAAGCTAAACAAAGCATTTTGTTCAGTCCCTCTTAAACTTTATAGATGTGTAGGCACATATTTCTTAGAATAAAGGTTTGAACTCAAATCATGTGAAGGAATTACAGAATTGTGTAATTAAACTCTTATTATAATATTATATTTTATACTTATACTATATTATACATATACTATACTTATATATTAACACCTAGCTTATTAAAAGCAATGCATAGTTATTTCATAGCGAGTTGGTGGGGATGGTTTTTAGGGAACCCATTACATTTGTGGGAGCTTCTGATCTGGGTGAGTCTTATTCACCTCATAATTCTAAAGTGTTGCTGAGGCTAAGATTCTGAAATTTTGATGAACAGTTCTTTCATTAAAAACTGTAATAGAAGCCAATTATTGATTTTTCTATGAATGTCTTTAAAGGTGGATGTTGGTTCTGACCTTTACTTTGGAAATGTTCCAGAATCAGGAAGGCTTTCTAATAACTGATCATCAGAGGGAAAGATGAAGTCTTTGGGGAGTTCCTGACTCCCTTTCTTGGTTTGGTTACACAGTGCTGCTGGAGTATGCTGAGCTGAAAAGTTTATGAGGCTGCAGAGTGAGTTCCCATTGTATTCATGGCGGACACAAAATAAGGCTAATTGGAATTTTTTTTGAAGTGTGACAGTGGTAGCTTCACTTAATGATGACTGCCAACATTACCAACTTCTCTGTTAGCATTTGCTTTTGCTATTCCCAATAAAGACGCAGATTAACTGGTCTCCGCAGACAAGCTTAGGTTCATTTTACTATACACGATTCTACTGCTTCTATGTATGTTATTGTTTCAAAATTATTCTTTACTGTTGTATTTTTCACCAGCTCTTTCTTTAATTTTCACTTTTTTCATTGCAGATTAGATATTTAGAGAAAATTATTTTCACATCATCATAGACTGGCGAGAAGTTTAAGTCAACCAATTGGTAATGGAATTAAAAATATGTATTTGGTATCACAACAATAAGGGGAGGTCTTAGTGTAAAATCTTGGGAGTTATGTAGCCAAGACTTCGAAATATTTCCTTAAAATGGTTCTTCATTTAGACTTGCTATTTTTTTTTGTGAGTCATGGGGTTTGAACTCTGGGCCTGAACACTGTCCCTCAGCTCTTCAGCTAATAGTTCTCTTCAAGGCTAATGCTCTACCACTTGTTCCACTGCACCACTTCCATTTTTCTGAGTGATTTATTGGAGATAAGAGTCTCAAGGACTTTGCTGCCCTGGCTGGCTTTGAACTGCCATCCTCAGATCTCAGCTTCCTGAGTAGCTAGGATTACAGGCATGAGCCACTGATGCTCAGCGTTAGACTTTCTATTTTTATATTTGTATGTCCTGTTTTATATCACCAAAGGGATTTGAATATATAACATATGTTAAATCTACAGTCTTGCATAATTTGTCATTAAAGAAATTCCCTGTGGTAATATTGACTTGGATTTCCTCCTTTTTCTCTTTCTCTGTCATCAATCCTCACTTTGCAGGCTTATAAAACTTTTAAGTACATTTTTTACATTTTTTTAGATTGGCCATTTATTCTGCCCTTGTAATTTTTATCATTGCTATTGTTTATTAATCTCCAGGTTTTCTTCTTTGATATTCTATTTTAAAATAGTCATAATTTTCAATAGAGGTATTGAAATCCTGCGCATTTTTTCTACTGTGATGTTTTTCTTTTGTGATGTTTCACTCTACCTTTAAGCTGATAATACCACTCATATTAGCTAATAGAGCAAGAAAACACATTGTTATATTATCTTTAGCATGGTGAGTACCTGAAATATTAAAAGTCATTCATTCTCAATTACACAAATAAATCTCTCCATCAGCATATCTAACGGTATTTATTTATTCTCTCTTTAGTATACAAAGTAGCTGCTACTGTATCAGTGTGACATTAGCCCAGTACCAGTAGCTTATGGCTATAATCCTATCTCCTCAGGAGGCTGAGATCTGAAAACTGGTTTGAAGCCAGCATGGGAAGGAAAAATCCGTAAGACTCTTCTCTCCAATTAACCACCAAAACCCTGAAAGTAGAGCTATGGCTTAAATGGTAGAGCACTAGATTTGAGGCAAAAAGTTCAGGGACAGCACTCAAACCCTGAGTTCAAGCCCCAGGACCAGCATACACACACACAAACACACACACACACAAGACAGAAAATCCTTATTTTAGTATCATGTCCAGAATCTGTGTAAAAAAAACTAAAAAAAAACCCGTGTTATCACTTAGGAGACACTAAGTAATTACTTAATGAATTCAAGATTTTGCTCACATAAATTTTTAGAGAAAGAATTTAAAACATGTCAAATTTGAGACATTGATGATGTATAGATCTATGTAAGCAACACATTGGTAATGGATTAAAATAACAGAAATAAAATTTAACTATCCTATTTCTTGGCGGATTCATGTCTCAGAAAGAAAGAATAATATATAACATTAATATCAAAGTATGACCCACTTTTGTTCCATATAGAAATAAGAATGAGTTTCTAAGAAATTGACTTTTTCAAGTTCTTTTAAGTCCTTTTGGATTTGAGAAGTCTTTCGTTTATGGATTTCAGGATGTTTGTCATTCTTAATTCTATATAACATCTTTCCTTTCATTCTCTTTTTTCTTTCTTCTACTTTCTTTTTATTCAACTTATGTCCATCTATCATCATCACTCTCCATCAGTCTAACAATTACAATGACTGTTACTAAGTTCGGTAAAATTGATGTCTACAGTATCTTCATTCCCTTTTCTAATAAATGACTTAAAAAATCTTCATAACTCAAAATTATAAGATATTTCACATTTTAGGTATTTTTTCAAAGAAAAATGCTATAATATTGTGTCTACTGCTTAAAAACGTTGGTAAACAGACATCTGAAACTGTAATCTGATACTATTCTGTATAAACATGGGTAAGTCTTTCTTTACCACCCTCTTTCATTGCAGTGGGCAGACTAAGGGGCTGTGATGGGGAAAACCAGACCTTAGTGACTAAATTTGTTCTCAAAGGAATCATAGAGTGTCTAGAGCTTCGAGTCCCCCTGTTCCTGGTGTTCTTACTGATTTATGCCATCACCATGGTGGGCAACCTGGGATTGATTTTTCTCATCTGGAAGGACTCCCATCTTCACACACCCATGTCTTATTTCCTTGGCAGTTTGGTCTTTGCAGATGCCTGCACTTCATCTTCAGTGACTACCAGGATGCTTGTCAACATCTTATGTAATGGGGAGATGATATCCCTCATTGAATGCTTGGTCCAATATTATTTTTTTGGTTCCAGTGCAACCACAGAATGTTTTCTCCTGGTACTGATGGCCTATGATCACTATATTGCCATCTGTAACCTTTTGCTCTATCTAGTGGTGATGTCCAACAGACACTGCACTTGGTTGATCAGTGTGTCCTATTTGATTGGTTTTATGCATCCCTTAATTCATGTTGGATTATTATTTAGACTGATGTTCTGCAACTACAATGTCATAGACCATTTCTACTGTGAAATCTTACCATTCTACACCATTTCTTGCACTGACCCCTCTCTCAATGCCTTAGTGGTTTTTATTCTTTCAGCTTGTATACAAGCTATTACATTCATGAGTATCATCCTCTCCTATACCCGGGTCCTCCTTGCGATTATGGGAAAGAAGTCTGAGAAGGGTGAAAGCAAAGCCTTCTCTCTCCCCATATGGTGCACACCTACTCTCTGTCTCTTCATTCTACGGCACTCTGTTCTTCATGTATGTGTGCCCTGGGACTGGGCCAGATAAATATCAGGATAAAATGTACTCCCTGTTCTATACCATTATAATTCCTCTGTTCAACCCCTTTATTTACAGCCTAAGAAACAAAGAAGTTTTAGGTGCATTGAGGAAAGTGACAAAAAAGTAAACAAGCAAATAAATGAATATTTTTTTCCAGAAAACTTAATTTATTATTTCCATTTCACTTTTGACTTAAATAAATTACTGTATAACCCTGCTTGATAAATAGTAAGAATACTTGTTGCTGAATTAAATACAGAATGTTAGGGTAGATATGTTTGTCTTGAATATAAATTGTTACTGTCATCAGTTGCACAATCTACTCTAAACACTGACACCAAACACATTTTGTTTTAAATCATACTTAAAGTAGAAACTGAAACTGTAACAATTATATTATTAGGCCTTTATTTCGTGAATAAATGTTGTGCTTTCGGATATTTGCATTTTGAAATTTATTTGAATTTATATTATTTTAAATCCTTCGTTAAAGTCAACATGAAGAGGAGAAGGGCAAAGGAGAGTGTAGTCATAAAATCCCAGGACTGACACCAAAAAAAAAAATTTCTAAGTATATCCTACAAAATTAAGAAAATTGAGCGAAGGGAAGTGGTTGGGAGGGATGGGAATGAATGATAAAACAGGTGACATTGATCTAGATGCATTGTGTTGAATGGCAACACCTTTGTACAACTACTTAAAGACAATAACAAGACAGTATTTATGTCCTCTTATATAGTTGTGTAGGAAGGTATTTTCTAAGCTCTATGTGATCAATGAATACATAATATATCGAACAAAATAATTTTGAAGTAATTGCAATGTGTGGAGCTCATCAAGCCAAATCTCAAGACTGGGAAGGGTTGCTTAAGTTTGTTTAGGGCTTAGTTTCTACACAGTCTTCTAAGTGTGCCTGTGCTGTGCCATTAGATGGCTGGACTCCACTCTAAACAATGCATTCCTTTGTCATTACGGAACACTGCATATTCATAAAATGTTTTCCTTATGAGGTAGTGTATTCTTTATTTCTCAGAATCAAATTTAGATGGCATTGAAAGAATCTTTAAGTAATGTATCTTTGCACTTTTCTTGTAATTAGTTTAAAGGCTTTTGCTTTCAAAATAAAGAAAACTGATGTAAAAATAATCCTCACAATAGACTTGTCATTAATTACTGGCTTGTGAGTCCACAATGCCCAGTAGACTGGCTTTGCCCTGTAGGGAGTCTCATGGAAGCATTGAGGGAGTTCCAATGTTCACATCACAAACAGGGCTTAAGACGGAGAGAAACAAATACCATACCCTTCAAACTGCTTTGAAAGAAAATGAAAATGTGAAGAATGATGGTCTCTAGTACCTTCCTTTGGAAGTCTCCATGAAGATTTAAGTCTATGACATCCATTCTCAAACATCTTATACGAATTAGGTGAGAATGCAGTATTTTACTGAATTACCATTATGTAGTATAAAATTAAATCACTTTATTACTAGAACTTTGCCATTTTTGACCATATGGAATAAAAAACAGTCATGAAATCAAAATGCTAAATAAAACTAACATCCAATTCCTATTAATTCTTACAGATATATAGCTACATGTTTGTAAAACAAAGTTTTGAACTCAGTTATATGATTGTTTACTAGATTCTGTAAATGACTCTCTATTGCACACTACATATTAATAGGAGTGAAGAATGCTAATCTCATGGATAATTGGTAGAATGCAGCATGGAAAATCACATTTCAATGAGAATTATTTAATGAAGTTCATACTCTGTTTTATACACCTGATCATCTACTAACTCTGAATTTTTTAACAAAATGTTTAATTGCTGGACACTGGTGAATCACACCTGTAATCCTAGGTATTCAGGAGTCAGAGATTTGAGGATTGGGGTTGGAAGCCAGCCCAGGCAGGAAAGTCCGTGAGTCTTTTATCTCCAATAAACTACTCAGAAAAGTCCGAAAGTGGCGTTATTGCTCAAGTGGTATATTGCTAGTCTTGAGCACAAAGAGGCTCAGGGACAGACACAGGCCCTGAATTCAAGCCCTAGGATCCACAAAACATAAAAAAAATTCTTAATTAAGAAGGATTCAATTTAGAAGGATTAATCTAATTATGACATCAGTGTCCTTAAATGTCAAAATAGTTTTGACTTTGGCAATGTTCTACATGGGTGAAGATTTTCCAGTACCTGCAGATCATGAAGACATATGGTATATCAACGAAGCCTCTGCTTCTCATCTGCTTCTTGCTATAGACAGAGTTCCTCAAAATAGCAAAGTGACAGAGTTCACTACAGCTGCACAGTGGATTTTATCATTGCCTTCTTAGCTACAAAATAAGGATCTGCTAATATTTTCTGGAGAATTGACTGTTTTCATGCTTGTCAAAGACTGTTGCAAGCTTTATCAGTCCTTCTGGCACTGTGGTTTATATTCAAAGAAAAATTGCAAAATTGTTTTCCTTGGTGTTGACATTCTTCATACAGTTGGAAAAAAACTTTTCCACAGAATAGATTATCTAGTGAAGGACAAACACCGTTTGTCTGTTTTCGCTCTAAAATATTCCAGTTGTTTCACAAGTATTTAACTGTTAATATTATTCTTTCAGAAGTGCGTTTATTTTCAGTAAATCTTTACATGATCCATGCTGTTCTTTGGGGAGACATCTTTGGATAATGATTGTCTGACCTTCATGGTCTTTGATGTAAAATCATCGTTTAAGTCTATAAAAATTGGTGAGTGTTACAGAAGTGACAGGGTGCGTTGCTGTGCACCTGTCATGTGCACCTGGGTAGTCTTATCACATGAACCTGGAAGTTGTGAATGTAGGACTTGTCTCTTGAACGAGGGGCCAAGTCAAGTGCAGGTCCCATTACAATGTCAAGAACAAAACAATGATGTGAAAATATTTCACTCAACAATTTACACTTATAGCTTATGTTTCTACCTAGGAACTTCCTAGTTTAGATCACCAGCATGGCTCTGGATGGAACACTGTGAAGGTGTTGCACTAGGGTGTTGATGGTCTGGATACTCCTGGATTTCCACTGGATTTATTCTCACTGACTGTCCAGGCCTGTTGAACTCATGGATACACTTTTAGCTTGAGTCTACTTTTTACCTTTTTTCTCATTCTCACTTATATTTAAAGGCAGAAACAAACATTGATTCCAGTATCTTTGGAGACATGTAGAAATGTAGTGTTTTAAGACATACTCATTGAACTGGATAATTTTTTTACATTGACATATTTAATGATAACTGTACAGCCTAAATTTAATATGTAAACAAGCCATTAGAATAGGTGTGTGTGGATATGTTTTCTTATAAATTGAGATTATTTTTAATATCATGCCTGTATTATCTGATCTACGGTTTCTTTGTGACTAAACTACAAATAGAATAGTGTTCTATCTTAGAACTTACAGAATTATGACTTAAGTAAAAGAAGGAATATTGTTTTCAAATATATTGTTAAGAAAGATTCAAGAAAGTATTCAAAGGATGTGTGTTTTCATGAGTTTTAAAACAACTCGAATTTTGAGGAAGAGAAGTAAAACAATAAATTACTGTCTTATTACTTGATTTACTATATATTAGCAAGAAAGAATTATGTCTATCAACAATAGGAAATATATGAGTGAGTTGTTTTAGTCTATAAAGTATGACCGAGTGCTTGAGAAATTGAAATAAAAGCCTTTGAATTAGTTTTGCTTGAAGAGATTTGGGTCTGAAAAACATGTTTCAAAAATTTTTAATTAGGTGTGAAATATCTCTTTAATATGTAATTTGCATTGATTTTTGCATTCTAACTTATAAAACCATGTATATTGATATCTAGATCTACCTCATTCATCTTTCAAGTAATTATTTTAATTAAAGACAAAAGTTCTTTAAAATTATCTATGGTATCTCCAAGTTTTAGATATGTTTGTCAAAGAACAAAATGACATCTTTCTATCTTTAGATTAATGAGAATCTGAAATGTAAGTATCACAGTGCAATCCCAGAAGTCTTTGCATGACAACTGGTGATTTTTCTGACCCCTCTCTCATTGCAGAGAGCAGTCTGAGGGGACATCATGGAGGCGAACCAGACTCTGGTGACTGAGTTTTTCCTCAAAGGAGTAACGGAGCGTCCAGAGCTGCGAGTCCCTCTGTTCCTGGTCTTCTTCTTCATTTATGTTATCACCATGGTGGGCAACCTAGGGTTGATGTTGCTCATCTGGAAGGACTCCCATCTCCACACACCCATGTACTATTTCCTTGGGAGTCTGGCCTTTGCAGATGCCTGCACCTCATCTTCTGTGACCCCCAAAATGCTTATGAATCTTTTAACAAGGAATCACATGATCTCCAGGTTGGAGTGTTTCTTTCAATATTACTTTTTTTGTAACAGTGCAACCTCAGAGATATTACTCCTGATGATGATGGCCTATGACCGGTATGTGGCCATCTGTAACCCTTTGCTCTATCTGGTGGTGATGTCCAACAGACGCTGCACCTGGATGATCAGTGTGTGCTATGTCATTGGCTTCCTGCACCCTTTAATTCACATTGGATTATTATTCAGATTAATTTTCTGCAAGTCCAATGTAATCAATCATTTCTACTGTGAAATCTTGCCACTGTTTACAATTTCTTGCACTGATCCATCTATTAATGCGCTAGTAATTTTTGTATTTGCCACTGTTATACAAGAATTTTCTTTCATTAGTATCATTATCTCTTATACACGTGTCCTGTTTGCCATCCTGAAAAAGAGATCTGAGACTGGCAGAAGCAAAGCTTTCTCCACGTGCAGTGCCCACCTGCTGTCTGTGACTTTGTTCTTTGGCACTCTCTTCTTCATGTATGTGCGCCCTGGGACTGGCCCTGATAAGTATCAGGATAAAATGTACTCTCTGTTCTACACTATCATAATCCCTCTGCTGAATCCTTTTATTTATAGTTTAAGAAACAAAGAAGTTTTAGGTGCACTCAGTAAAGTAATGAAATAACTGTCTCAGAAACCTTCCGATGTTCTATTTGCTTTCTTTGATAGTATGTTTTAACAATTTGTCTTTTGTTTTATACATAAAGGAGAGTTCATACTCTCCTAGTCAGGCAGGGTTTGATTTATT